GCCTGTGTCTGTGTCCCCATGTGCGTGTCTGTGCGTGTCCATACATACGTGTGTCATCATCTCTGCGGGTCTGTGTGGAGTGTACACAGGCGTTAGTGTCTGTCTGCATGTTTGTGTGTGCCTGTGGCGTGTGTGGGTGTGAATGTGAGTGTGGGTAAGTCTGGCTCAGGATCTGCGCCTGTGTGTGTCTGTGTGAGCGTGTGTTTCTGTGTCGATGTGTGTATCTGTGTGTGATGGGCGTGGAGGTCTGCGTCGGGACACGTCTGTGCTTTTATGTCTTTGTATCTGCATTTCCGTGTAAGGTGCAGATCTCTGTGTATCCCAGACACCTCTGTCCAGCGTTCTGTGGAAGCCTGTCAGTCCTGGCTCACAGGAGCCGAATGCACTCATCCCTTCGAGACCCTGCGTCACGTTGGGTAGCTTAAAAGCAGCCAGAGTGGGAGTATTTACACTGCAGAAATTGGCAAACGCTCCATGTTGGGGCTGTCCCACCCCACCCCAGCCCTGAGTTCCCAAGCGTTACTAGCATTAGCCCACATGCCACCATCTCTGACCCCTGGTGCCCGAGGTTGGATGGGGGCCCTTTTTATTAAATACTCTAAAATTGTAAATACAGGCTTCTCCTACTATTCCAAAGGAAAGCACTCCTGTGAAAACTTTTGTAGGTCAAAACGATGTAAAGTGGGTGGGCCTGGGGGCCTCAGTCCTTAAGTGTCTGACTTCAGCTCAGGTGATGATCCCAGAGTCCTGAGATAGAGCCCATCAGGCTCCCTGCTCAGCAGAGAGCCTGCTTCTCCCTCTCCCTCTGCTGCTCCCCTTGCTTGTGTGTATTCTCTTTCTCTCTCTCCCTCTCCAAAGTAAATAAATAAATAAATAAATAAATAAATACATAAAATCCTTTAAAAAAATGATGGAAAGTGAAGAAGCAATCAATTTCTATTGAAAAAAATCTTGAGCATTCTCAGATGCCAAAAATAACATCTCCTAGGCTTTTCTGATACATCTTACGGACACATTTTGCTCACAGGCTCACAAAATAAATGGGGAGAAAGCCCCGATGCTCGCAGACGCAGGTCGGAGCTCCAGCGGATCGCTGCTGGGATGCTGAGTGTCATCCCAGGGAAGGACCGTGGGCGCCCCTCTCACTGGACATGATACCTGCTGCCCTATAACCCCTCCCTGCAAAACCAACACTGAATGCTATCTTTGCTTTTCGCCAATTTTTTTTTAAAAGGTTGATTTATTTATTTGAGAGGGAGCACAAGCAGGAGGGGCAGAGGGAGAGGGAGAGGGAGAGAGAATTTCAAGCTGAATCTGCACTGAACACAGAGCCCAACGTGGGGCTCGATCTCATGACCCTGGGATCATGACTTGAGCCGAAACCCAGGGCTGGAGGCCTAACCGACTGTGCAGAGGCGCCCCTGGCCATTTTCCTTTCCTTTTCTTTTTTAAGAGATTTTATTTATGTGAGAGAGAGAGAGTGAGAGAGCACAAGCAGGTGGGAGGAGCAGAGGGAGAGGGAGAAGCAGGCTCTCTGATGAGCAGGGAGCCCGACATGGGGCTGGATCCCAGGACCTGGGATCACAACCTTAGAGGAAGGCAGAGACTTAACTGATGGAGGCACCCAGGCGCCCCCTGGCTATTTTTCTTAAAAGTGAAAATCCTCTTCCGATTTCTTCTGCTTAGCGAAAACAGGTGCTAATTAATGTTGGGCTTTCACCAAAGTGGAGTCATGAACTTTTGGAAAGCGGGGGACACCTGCAGGAAGATGTTAGCTATTTTTCACAGCAGCCTGTGCACTGGCCTCTGTGTGATAGCTGAGATCCAGGCTTGAGTTGTCGAGGGCCCAAGATGCTTCCTGAAGGGGGCCTGGGGTTTGGTCCGCATGCCTAGGAGGGGCACTGCAGCTGCCGCTGGGAGCAGACCCAGCCAGCCTGGGGCTGTGCAGTCCCTCAGGGCAGTGCCAGGTCACCCTGAGAGGCCGCCCCAGAAGAGCCTTGAGTGCCTGGGACTGACTGAGGAGGCCAAGGCCAGAGTCCAGGCCAGATGCTGGGAGGTGGGCTGTGGGAGTCCCAGGCTGTGACATCAAGGAGGCAGGGGAACACACAGGGGCCTGGAGTTTGGGTGACTCACCTTCTAACCCCAGCTGGGCCCCTTTCTGGCTCTGTGTCCTTGGGTAGATCACCTTACCCTCACCTCTCTGGGCCTCAGCTTCCCTATCCGTAAAAAAGAAGGATATAGAGATTTCGCTTGGTTGCTGTGTGCATGAAGGAGAATGACATTTGGAAAGTCTAAGGAAAACTAAATAAACAGGAACTTTTATAAGTACTAATAACATTGTAAGTGGTCATAACTTAGTCCCTTTTCTTCCCCCCCTTTTTTTCCTCAACTGTGAATTTCTCAGGAACAGAAAATCTGACTTCTATTTCAGTTCCTGGCAAGGGATCCCACAAAACAGGAAATAATAGTCATGATGTTAAGGACAATAGCAAACACTTCTGGCACAGTACTAAGCCCTCCCCATTTATTAACTCAAAGTTCAGTTCTGACCCGGGCCACCCTCAGCCTTCTCTCCGCTCCCTGGGGTGGGAGTTGTAGGGCCGGCTGGTGAGTACAACGCTCCCCCCTCCCAACCCCGCCCCAGGGTTCCCGGAGCGAGTGGAGCTGTTACCCCTGCCCCGCTGGCAGCCCGTGGGCGAAAACCTCACCCTGCGCTGCCAGGTGGCAGGCGGGGCGCCCCGGAGAAACCTCACCGTGGTGCTGCTCCGCGGGGAGGAGGAGCTGAGCCGGCAGCCGGCCGTCGGGGAGCCCGCCGAGGTCACGGCCGCGGTGCTGGCGGGCAGAGAGGACCATCTCGCCAATTTCTCCTGCCGCACGGAACTGGACCTGAGGCCCGGAGGGCTGGGATTGTTTCAGAACAGCTCGGCCCCCAGGCAGCTCCAAACCTTTGGTGAGGGAAGAGACTGCAGAGGGTGGGTGATGAGCTGAGCCAGAGAAGGGGTACCCTGGTCGGGAGGTTTCTTGCAAATGGAGGGGACTGGACCTCAGCGGCTTCTGGGAAGGGATGCCCTTGGCCACTGAGGACGGTGTAGCCTCAGTTGGGACACTCCAGGCCGCGGTAACTAACGAGAAGTCTAAGGGGGTGTGTCCTGGGAAGGGGGTGAGCCAGGCCGCAAGATATCCTGGGAAAGAAGGACCCTGGTTCGGGACAGTGAGCATTCCATGGGGAAAGGGACGCCCAGGGCTCTGGGAGACCCTCCTCCTGCTCACGTCCGCCCTCCTCCCCAGCACTGCCCGTGACCACTCCACAGCTCACTGTCCCTCGGTTCTTGGAGGTGGGAACGACTTGGTCCGTGAACTGCACCGTGGACGGGTTGTTCCCCGCCTCTGAGGTCCAGGTCCACCTGGCGCTGGGGAACCAGACGCTGAACTCTACAGTCGAGAACCATGGGAACACGATCACGGCCACAGCCACAGCCACAGCGAGCATGGAGCAGGAGGGTGCCCAGGAGATTGTCTGCAACATGACATTGGCGAACGTCAGCTGGGAGGCCCGGGAGAACACAACCATCTACAGTAAGAGGGGGCGGAGCCAAGACAGCAAGCCAGGGGAGACAAGGGGCGGGGCTTCGGTATCCGGAGTGGAGTGACATATATAGGGCGGAGACTAAACTGGAGAGGTGGGGTCTGAGCCCGCCGAGAGGAAGGCGTTGTCGTGTGGGCGGGGCCTAAATTACCCGAAGGGTGTATATATAGCAAGATTACCCCAAGCTGGACTGGGGCCGCGGGGGTGGCGGGGGGAAGGGGCGTCGCACCGAGTAGCATAAAGGCATGGCCTGGATACCCCAAGAAGAAAGAGTCAGGTGGAGGGCGGGGACAGATCTATGTGAGGGGCGTGGTCAGTAACCTACTGGGCAATGTCCCGTCTTTAGGCTTCCAGGGGCCCATCCTAAACCTGAGTGAGCCCAGCGCCCCCGAGGGGACCGCGGTGACTGTGACTTGCTTGGCCGGACCCCGAGTCCAGGTCACGCTGGAGGGAGTTCCAGCTCCGGCCCCTGGACAGCCTGTCCAGTTTCAGCTAAACGCCACCGAGACGGACGACAGGCGCATTTTCTTCTGCAGTGCGACCCTCCGGGTGGATGGGGAGATCTTACACAGAAACAGCAGCGTCCAGTTGCGTGTCCTGTGTGAGTAGGTCACTCTGATCTTTAAACCCTTGCTCTCCTGGTTTGGTGGGAAGTCTCTCCCTTGCCCCACTGTGCCTCGAGTGTGTCTTATCATTGGACTGATCCACAGACGGTCCCAAGATTGACCAAGCCAAATGTCCTCAACGCTTGACGTGGAAAGATAGGACTATCCATGTCCTGCAGTGCCAGGCTCGGGGCAACCCGGACCCCACGCTGCACTGTTTCCAGGAAGGCTCCCGGCTTGAGGTGCCCATCGGGATCCCATTCCTCGTCAGGTTAAACCATAATGGAGCGTACTCCTGCAAGGCGACCAGCTCACGAGGCACACAGACTATAACCGTGGTGATGAACGTTTGGGGTGAGCCAAGACGGGGCCGCGGGTATAGATGGGCAAGCCCGGGCGGGGGCGTGGGGCGGCAGAGCGTGTGTATTTATTTCTTGTTTCTCTGCATAGATCGGAACGCCCGCGCCGTCAGCATCGTCCTGGGGGTGTTAGCGGTCCTGGGCGTGGTGACGATCTGCGCTGCCTTACTGTACGTCTTCGGGGTCCACAGGCATAGTGACATCTACCATGTGAACCAGGGGAGCACTTCGTTGCCCCTGACGTCTAGGCAGCCCGAGGAGGCTGTGGGGGAGGATCCATCCTGAACTTCCAGCTGGGGGAACGCTGGACCAAAGACGATGAGGGGTTTGGCTGTATCCCCGGGTTCCGCACCAATAAAGCTCTCAAAATCCGGAGTCTGTGGCTTGATTCCACGTGTGCTGAGGAGCTCACCCACTGCGCTTGGCGTCCTTTGAGTGACATCTCTGTGGCAGCAAGGGGTGGAGCCTGTGGTGCCCAGACGCGGCTTGAACTCTGAGAGGCGGGCTGGGCCTTAGCCAATGGGCTGAGGGGGTGGGAAGGGAGGCGGGGCTTGTCCTGGCCAATCGCCGGGCGTGCCCTCGTTGCCGCTCTATGCCGCTCCGCCCAGGCTCGCTGGTCCCAGAAGGCGCCGGGTTTCCCAAGATGGCGGCCGACGTGTCCGTTACTCACCGGCCCCTGCTGAGCCCGGAGGTTGGGGCCGAGGCTGAAGCTGATGATGCCGCGGAGCGCCGGGCGCCCGAAGAAGAATTGCCGCCGCTAGATCCAGAGGAGATCCGGAAACGCCTAGAACATACCGAGCGCCAGTTCCGTAACCGCCGCAAGATACTGATCCGGGGCCTCCCGGGGGACGTGACCAACCAGGTATGGGGGGGGGGAGGGAGCGTGGCGGGAAATACCACCGTGCGCGTGCGCGGGGGGGACCGGGCGACACCAACGCTGGCCTGCGCTGGGGGGCGTCGGCGGGAGAGTCCAAGCGCGGGATCAGTGCGGGATCGGGAGAAACCAAGAGCAGGATATGGGGGTGGGGGTGGGCAGTGATGGAGGGAGAAACCAACTTTGGACTGAGGGAGGACGTTGCTAGGGGCGACCACAGGCTTGGACGAAACCAAGTAATTGAAGGGGGGCGGGGAACTGGAAGGGGGCCGGGCAACTTTGGCCTGGTTGGGGGATTGTGAATGAGCTGCTATATTGGGACTGTGGAAGTAGGGATGGCAGTTGCTCCCTGCTCTGATCGTGTATTGCCCCACCCCCTCTACCATGGGTAGGCGGGATGTATCCAGAAGTTTCAGGGTTCACTGGAGTATGCCTTTCCATAGCACGCATTTATCGACCCCTCTGCGTCATCCGGAAGTTGTAGTAGCTCCTGGGGTCTTTTTTCCCCTAAAGCTTCTGGATTAATTTGGAAAAATAGAGTCTAGTTCCCCCAGCTCACAGACCTGCAGGCCTCCCCCACTGTTCTCTGACCCCTCCCTTGACTGGTCTGGCCAGGGCTGCCCTTCTTTTGGGGCCTACATGGGGTAGGGCTTCCCAGTGCTCTTTGGACCCAAGGAGATTGCATCTAGTCGGCCCTGCCCTGCCACAGTGGGATGGGTTCTTTCTCCCTACTGCTGAGAAATCTCTGCTCTCTGACCCACGTGCACATCTGCCACTGACTCTCCCTAACCACGAGTAGGCGCATGGCTGGTGGGGTCTCAGAGTGTGGTGAGGAGCAGACTTGAGGACAGACCTGGGGCAGGTGCCACTAAGCATGGTCTGTTTTTTTCCTAGAGCTGGCTCTCCTAATGCCTACCATCTCTCAGCTGGGAACACTCTATCTCCTTCAGGGTGCATGGTGTGTGTCTGGCAGTAGCAGGCCCCAGAGTCTGCCCACGAAGCTAGCTTACCAGAAGGCCAGCCCTGTCAGCAGGAGGGAGTTGGGAGGCATGTGAAGCTATGCACTGTGGTCTTATTAAGTACACAGGGTCCCCAGTTAGGTACCCCCTGGCTGGCATTCTCTCTGCTGCCCTGACCAGCTGCATGACCTATGACATGTTTCTTTGCATCCCTGAGCCTCAGTTTCTTCATCTACAAAATGGGTTAATGCCCAATTTGTTGGGATGTTGGAAAGAGTCAGACTTGCAAACCGAGGTTGAGATGGATTGAAGTTACTTCCCTAAGGACATACAGCAGACCTGGGACTTGAACTCAGACCCGTCTGACTCTTCAGTTGTGTTGTGTTAGTTCAAAGCATGGAGTCTGCAGCTAGGCTCTGAATCCTGGCTGTGAGTGTTCCCTCGTTTGTGAGATGGGGATGCTGATTGATCTGCTTTCATAGCTGGTCCATGTGGAGGTGGCTCTGGGTGGGTGCCTTCAGCCCCTGGTGACTCTATCCTTTGGCTTCTGTCTCCACAGGAAGTGCACGATCTGCTCAGCAACTATGAGCTCAAGTACTGTTTTGTGGACAAATACAAAGGGACAGGTTTGTGGGGCTGTGGGTTGGGCTAGTGGCAGGAGGTGACAGTCCCTGAAACTGGGAGGGTCTAGGCCCAACATTTCCTGTCCTGAACCTCAGGCCCAACATTGTCCCCTAGGCCATACAGGACAGACTGTTGTCCCACTCTGGCTCTCATCCTGGGTGCCCATTGTGGGGCAGCCTTGGCCTTCCTCCCCTGGGCTGCCTAGCCAGATACCTGAACACTGGGCTCCCCACTTGCCCACGCCATTCCCCCCAGCCAGCCAGTCACCCAGGCCTAGTCTGGCTTTCTCCTTCACGTCCTCCAGAACAGTTGGCATCCCTTAATTCCCTCAATTTCCATCTGACCCATGCCCCCTCGATCTCTGCCAAAAAGGCAGCTTCCCTCTGATCCGTCCGCCTCTATGATTTCATGCCTTCCCCCCAGTGGCCAGCCCTGATCCAGTTGAAAATCTGACCAAATCCAGGCCTAACCTTCATTGTTCTTCTCTCTCTTCAACATCTCTGAGGCTCCTGCTGACACTACGGTGCAGGGATGGGCCCCAGCCTCACCGTCCCCCTGGGCACCCATCATGTTCCCGGCTGTTCCCTCTGCCAGTGCTCTTAGCTGTCCACTGTGCCATCCGGGCGGCATCGGGCAGCTCCGCGTTGTGCCCCGAACGCCCCGCCCACCATAGCACTGTCACGCTGGGCTCTTGTCGCTCTCTCACTCACCTGCCTCCTACACTTCGTGGCTGGCTCCATGAGAACAAGGAGGGGTCTTGTCAGCCTTGGCGCTCCCTCTCCCCCCCGCCCACCAGGCATGGGAGGCTCTCTGTGGGTGTCTGTGCCTGCCAGGTATTGTGCCAGTATTAAATCTTCTGGGGCCTTTTCTTGCAGTGTGTAAGATGGGTGAGGAGCTGAGGACAGGTAACTCCTTGCGACCCACCTGGCAGGCTAGGAAGGTTGTTCAGATCTTGGGTGCAGGAGGCAAACGGACCTGGGTTCAGGTCCTGGTCTGGCCACCCTCTGTGGCCCCAGGCAAGTGATTTACCCTCTGGAGCCTCGGTTTTCTCACCTGCAAATTGGGCATGACCTGCTTGGGTTAGCCATGAGGCCAAACCTGTTAAAATACCTAAAAAGCTGGGGTGCCTGGCACCTAATGGGTGCTTATTAATATTGCTAGAGGCAGTGCATCAAAAGTATTCACTGAGCACCTAGTATGTGTGTGTGCCGGGCATCAGGGATCCAGAGGTTAACTGACATTCTCATTGATAGAGTCTTCCAGCAGTGGTCACTGAATGTTGTATGCCAGGTACCGGGTACATAACTGTTAACCGAGCGGAGAACAATCTAGTCTGCAGACAAGGGTGTTATTCAAACAGCTGCAAACATGGAGGTTTGCACGCGTGCATGCATACACACACACATGCACACACACACACACGACCAGAAGCTCCGAATGTGCAACAGGAGAAGTCAGGCTAGGCTTTGTGGGGAAGTGATGTTTGAAGGGCAGGTCGGGTTAACCAGGCAAAGCAGCATGGAGGTCCGGCTTCCAGGCTCAGGGTAAGCGGGAGCAAAGGTCCGCGGCCGAGTGGGCGTGGCACAGTCCAGGAAGTAGCAGTGAAGAGATGGGAGAGGAGGTCAGCAAGGCCAGTGGGCCAGGCCACACAGGATCCACTGGTCCCTGTAATGAGAAACCAACCCCTAGACAAGGACGCGATGCCATCTGATTATCCTTTTGAAAGGCTCCCTGTCGCTGCTGGGTGGAGAGCAAATGAGGCATGGCCGTGGGACCGGATATGAGAGGTGTTGGTGGCCTAGAAAGGTGATAAAGGAAGGGTGCAGAGCAGGGCACTGGGGCTTGCCTGCCTGGGTTCAAGTCCAGGCTCCTCGATGGGGGCAGGGGGCACTGCTCTGGACCTGTTTCCTTGCTGGCCCAACGGGGGTGGTCAGGAGTAAGTTCTCTCGTTTCCCATGAAGAAACTGAGACCCCAGAGCTCCCCTGAGCCATTCAGGGGCTGGACTGGAAGCCCAGGCCCCAGCGACTACATCCTGAACCACTGCTACACAGCCCCCGAGTTAGACGCGTAGGACCCAGCAAGGCACACAGTGGGTGAACCCTGCTGTGGGTGGGGATTGGGGACAGAGCAGGGAGCAGGGCTCAGGGAGGCAGGAGGCCCCTGCAGCCGGGCCTCAAGGCTGCCAGCCATTCCCTCGGCCGGTCTCTGACACATCCTGGTTGTTAGGTATTCTGAGGTCAACACAAGGTATAGAGGGAGGTGGGGGGGGGGCTTGCCCCTCAGGGTGCCTCCTGAGCCTGCACTCCCTTCCGCTGCAGCCTTCGTGACCCTGCTGAACGGGGAGCAGGCAGAGGCTGCCATCAGCGCCTTCCACCAGAGCCGCCTGCGGGAGCGCGAGCTGTCGGTGCAGCTGCAGCCCACGGACGCGCTGCTGTGCGTGGCCAACCTGCCCCCCAGCTTCACGCAGCAGCAGTTCGAGGAGCTGGTGCGGCCCTTCGGCAGCCTGGAGCGCTGCTTCCTGGTCTACAGCGAGCGCACTGGCCACTCCAAGGGCTACGGCTTCGCGGAGTACATGAAGAAGGACTCGGCCGCCCGCGCCAAGTCGGACCTGCTGGGCAAGCCTCTGGGCCCGCGCACCCTCTACGTGCACTGGACGGACGCCGGGCAGCTGACCCCCGTGCTGCTGCACTCCCGCTGCCTCTGTGTCGACCGCCTGCCCCCCGGTTTCAGTGACGTGGACGCCCTGCGCCGGGCGCTGTCGGCGGTCCACACGCCCACCTTCTGCCAGGTGAGCCCTGGGCCTGGTGCAGGGGCCTGGGGGGTCGGGGCCAGGGACAGAGCGCCTCGGAGGGGCCCTTTGGAGTCACCTGCCTTTTCTAATCTCCTGGGTCCCTTTTCAGTAAAGCAGCGGCGGTGCCACCTTGAATGGGGTTCTTGTTAGAAAGGCCACGTGGTGTAGTGGGTGACAGCCCAGCCCGGAGCCAGATGGCTGGGGTTCAGATCCCTGGGCACCCTTTAGTGACTTGCTGAACCTTGGTGGCCTTGAACCTCCTATCAAGTGCAGGTGAGGCCGCCTTTGAGAAAGCTGGGTGCGAGGCCGGTCACCTCTCTCTCCCATTCCTGTGTTCCTCAGACGTTTGCAGAGGGGCCTCGTGGCTCCCAGGTCTGGCCTTGGGGAGGCTATCCGGAGACAGCCACAGTCCCGTGTGAGCCTGGAAGTCAGGACGTCAGGCTTGGCTGAATTCCAGACCTGCCCTGTGGCTTTGAGCAAGTCAGTCACTCTCTGAGTCACAGTTTCCCTCCATAAAAAGGGATTCGGCACTCACGTCAGGTCGGCAGAACAGTGTCTGTTTCATCCAAGTGGCATGTGTCATGCACTCCGGTGTGTGTGCCTGGCCCTGTGACAGGCACGGTGGCGTGAGAGCAGGCCAGACCCACTCCTCTTACCCACAGAGCCCCGCGTAGGCACTCCTTCAGTACCCGCTGAGCGCGTTGCTGAGAATCCCTTCATCCTAGAACAGCCCACGGAGGCAGATAATAACCCCGTTTTCAGGCAGCACAAGTTCAAGAGCCCTGCCGGGGGCTGTACAGCCAGGGAGGGCGTGGCAGGGCCAGGATTGGAAGGCCGCAGCCTGGTTCCAGGGGCCCCCAGGCAGCCTGATGGAGCTGCCGTACAGGCTCTAACCCCAGATCCCCCCAGTTCTGTGGCCAGGGGCGGCTCCCGCTTCCCTCGTGTAAATGGAATGTTGGGGCCTAGGGACTCCACTGTCTTAGGAAGCCCGCTCCTCGCTCACTCGGCATTTGGTCACGCTGCTGCCTTCCGTGGCGTACCTGCCACATGCTCGGTCCGGGTCGGGGGCTCAGGACACAGATGACTTAGGTTGGCAGCTCTGTCCTGTCTTGAGGGGGTGGGACAACAGGGCCGTGACCAACGATCAGTTCTCATTCCGAGCCTCAGTTTCCCCATCTGGAAATGGGGCTAGCAGTGCTTTGTGATTGGGTTATTGTAAATGGCTCCTTGTTCATGGTTCCACTTAGAGTACATGTCCTGGTTGAATGGAGGCCGGGCTCAGGAGTGGGGCACGTTGAGGTTTGAGCCTTACTCTCCCTCTTTAGGAACCGTGAAGCCTCGCTTGCCCTTTGACCCCTCCCTCTCTTCCCCTGCAAGACGGCACGTGTTGTTAGAAGATGTGCGTCTGGGCCTTGGTCAGAGGCGAAGCTAAAGTGCTCAGTAGAGGCAGGCTGACGGCCGGAACCCCCTACCTGGGCACCCAGAGCGGGGGCATGCTGAGAGCACCGCCCTTCCTTGCCCCTGGGGAGGACTGTCTCCTTGAATCCCCACAACCACCCTTAGAGGTGGGTTTGCTTGGCCCCAGGTCACAGATGAGGAGAGCAAGGCCCAGGGCTGGGCATGTGCAGTGATGTGCCCACACCAGCCTGCCAGTAAGAGGGGCCTGGGTCGAGGTCCAGCAGCTGACCCCGGGGTCCCCCAATCCTGAGCGCGGCACCCTCACCTTTCAAGAAGGCGGGACGCAGAACTGGGAACTGGCCGTCCTGGTGGGGAGCGTCATTCTCAGCATCGCCAAGCTGAGCCCATCAGGCAGCGCCCTAGCAGCCCGCTCTGCGCGCTCTGCCAGCCCCTCACGGGCCGGTCTCCAGCAGTGCTGTAGATGCGAATAAAGCAGGTATCCCAAGGCTCTGGGTGTTGTCAGAAGCCTCCTCCGTTTTATTTATTTTTGCGAATGGGCAGGCCAGTCCTGTTTGGAAATTCAGCAGGTGCAGAAAGGTCAGTGGCAAAGGCGGCTTTGCCCGCAGCCCCTGCTCAGAGCCGGTTGTGGTGTCTCCTTCTGGCGAGATTCTACCACGCATTTCAAGCAGATGCGTGCGGATGTCCTTGCGCTGCCCTCTGCCTGACCCAGATACGGCCGGGCCTGCTTCGGTTTGGTTCTTCCGCTTGGTCTCGGGCATATTTTCATGCTCAGACACGAGAGAGCTTTCTTACTGCTGTCAGGGATGCCCCATATTCGTTTCGTGGGGCCTGCTGTCCTCTGTGGATGGACGTGCATCGCTGGGGACCAAGGAGCATCGCTGTTTCTTGAAATGGCCAGAGGCGCCCAGAGGTGGTTTCTTGAGGGCAGCAGCATGACCTTGTCCGCTCCCAGCTCCGGCTCTGTGGCCCCGGGCCAGGGACTGCCCTTGTCCGAACCCATTTCCTACCCTGCAGAGTGGGAGTGTGGCCCGTGCCAGGCTCTGCGACGTGCTGGGACAGTCCCCGTGGCACCCAGCCTGTGGCGGGCACAGTCTGACCGGGTGCTCGCCTGGGATCTGCCTGCCCTGGGACAGCACCCACTGTGCCCATTCGTTCCCTGAGCAGGTGGCAGGCTCACATGGTGGCACAGCTGACCTGACCTGAGGGGGGCTGGAGCGGGGGCACCCGTGGCCTTTATCTTTGTGTCTTGCTGCAGAGACAGACCCGGGTGGTGGGGGAACGGACACGTGACACACAGCACATGCGGCATCCTCCCTGTCTCCAAAAACGTCTCCATCCCGGGACACATCTGACCCAGAGTCTGCATAAGGGGCTGTGGGCCTAACCCACAGGCTGTTGTCAGGAGCGGTGGGGGGCCCTGACTGGCTGTATGACTTCCCTCTCAACTGGCACATCTGGTCTTGAACCTGAGCTTGGAGGCCACGTGTTTCACCCCCAAGCTGTGTCCTTCCTCTCCAGCCCTGGCTGTGTGTCTTCAACCTGAGGCTCAGTGGAGCGGTGTCAGAGCCACCCATCTCTCCTCCCCTCAGCACCCCTTCACAGCTCTGTAACTCCGCCTCCCTGCGCCTTCGTGTGCTTCACGGTCCCCATCAGAGTCCCCAGGTGGCGCTGGTCTGAGGCCCAGGGGACTTGACCCATGTGAGGTGGATCCCAGCTTTGCGCTCTTACCAGCTGCGTGACCTTGGGCATGTCGACCTCTGAACTTCAGTTGTCCGCTCTGAAAAATGGGTAGGATGCAGCCTCCTAGGACCATCCAGAAGATTCGATGAGCTGTTGCAAGAACAGGGCTCAGAAGAGTATAGGGCTAAAAATCCACCCCGTCTGGGGAGGTTCACTGTCACGAGGAGCCAAGTCTGGTCACTGTTGTCACTTCACATGAGGGCAGCCACTGCCACTTGGGTGCTCACGTCTTCCTCCCCCCCCCCCCCCCCCCGCCAGCTGGCATACGGCCAGGATGGGCAGCTGAAGGGCTTCGCTGTGCTGGAGTACGAGACGGCAGAGATGGCCGAAGAGGCACAGCAGCGGGCGGACGGCCTGGCGCTGGGGGGCAGCCACTTGCGCGTCTCCTTCTGTGCCCCCGGGCCCCCCGGCCGCAGCATGCTGGCTGCGCTCATCGCTGCGCAGGCCACGGTGAGTGCGTGCCTGGGAGGTGCGCCCCCGGGGGTGGGGGTGGGGCACCCAGGGGCCAGACCCTCCTCTCTGGAAATGTCAGGGTGTCAGCTGGACTCAGGACGAGAGGGACAGGTGAGCCCGCGTCCCTGCGGCCAGGCGGGGCTCTAAGCCGCTCTCTCTCTCTCTGCAGGCCCTCAATCGGGGCAAAGGGCTCCTGCCCGAGCCCAACCTCCTGCAGCTGCTCAACAACCTGGGGCCCTCCGCCTCCCTCCAGCTGCTGTTGAACCCCCTGCTCCATGGCAGTGCAGGGGGCAAACAGGGTAAGGTGGGGTCAGGCAAAGTGGCAGCCAGGGTCCCCAGCTGTCTTGGAACCCGGCACCTCTGTGGACTGTTTTCCCATCCAACCGCTAAGTGACTCGAGCCTGTGAGCAGGGGCTGGAGGAGAGCACCACAGAGGGAGCAGGTGCCCCGAGCCCCTCCTGGGGGAAGCAGAGCTAGCTGCAGAGAGGATGGCTAGTGAAAGGGCCATCCCTCCCTGCGGCACACTCTCCTTCTGGCCCTCTTTTGGGGGACGTCGGTTGCTTTCAGGGAGCTTCAAGCCCGGGGCTGTGCTTCACTGGGGCAGGCGTTTCCATCCTGGGTTTGCTGCTCACTTCCCGATCTCCCCAGGCCTCCTGGGTGCACCTCCGGCCATGCCGCTGCTCAACGGGCCCGCCCTGTCCACGGCACTGCTGCAGCTCGCCCTGCAGACCCAGAGTCAGAAGGTAACTGCACGGCCCGGGGCCCTGGGCCCTGGGCCCTCCGTATCCATACACACGCTCCGGCCCCATGTTGGTCCACGTCACACCCCGGTCACATCTGCCAGTGGCTTGTCATCGGTGGGGTGAAGACAGGTGCTCAGGACTCCGGCGATGACTCAGTCTGAGAGAGAAAGTCCAGGCTTCACAGGAGTCGCTTGCTGGTGTCTCACTCCCACCTTCTCAACGCACAGACACAGAGACCCGTACAGACCAAGATACACACACACACACCCGTACACACACATCCACACACACGCTGCTGACCTACCCGGTTTGGTTCATTAGGGTCAAGTCAGTGACGTGGGGGTGTCTGACCATCACTGACGGCCTCAGGGGCTTGTGGGGCTGAAAGTGGCTCCACGTGTGGCTGTTACCCTGTGTTGGATACTGTGCTTCCTTGATAATCAGCAAGGGGACCGGGTGTGGGACAGTGTGTGCCTGGGAAGGACCGTCATCTTATGTGTGTCTGACGGTGTCTAGCAGTGCGGGGTGATGGGCCCTGACACCCTGAGCGTAAGGTGCATGTCCCTGGGGTCTTCCCAGGGCCTGGTGTGCCGGAGGCCCTCTGTCACCACTGGGTGGCTGGAAGGGTGATGGCTGGGATGTGGGAGCCCATGTCCGTGTGTGCCTGTGACTGGCTGGGCCTGGAGTCTGGGTGTGCTGGGTGTGGTGACCCCTGCCTCCTGCCTGGGCCATGATAGTCCATCTCCAGCTGATTGTGCTCTGTCTCCAGAAGCCTGGGATCCTGGGAGACTCTCCCCTGGGCACCCTTCAGCCTGGGGCCCAGCCGGCCAACCCCCTCCTCGGGGAACTGCCTGCAGGTAACACAGATCCTGCCCCTCCTCATCTTTCTGGACCCGTTCCCTCTCCCCCTTTCCGAGCCCCTTTCCTTACCGGGTATGGGTGGATGACCCCATCTCTCTCTGGGTCTCAGTGGCCCCAGCCGTCAGTTGGGCCCCCGCCTCCCAGGGTGGCTGGAAGGATCCTGGGAGGTGACACGCTTAGAGGGCTCTCCGCAGTGCTCACCTCATACCTGCTAGTCCCAGTCCTAGCGGAGGCCCAGGACCCCCAGAAGATGGGTCCTTTCCGGTTGGGCGCCAATACCTCCTTCTCCCTGTAGGGGGGGCCCTGCCCCCAGAGCTGCCGCCCCGGCGAGGGAAGCCACCACCTCTGCTGCCACCACTCCTTGGCCCCTCTACCGGTGACCGGGAAGCCATAGGCCTGGGTCCCCCAGCAGCCCAGCTCACTCCACCCCCGGCCCCAGTGGGACTCCGAGGCGCCGGCCTTAGGAGCCTCCAGAAAGACAGTGGACCTCTGCCAGCACCCCCTGGGGTAAGGCCCCACCCTGTACCCAGTACCAATCCGGCCTCCTGCCCTGCTAGACCCCGCCTGCCAGGGGCCCTCACGAATCCAGCTCTTCCACCACAGGTCTCGCTGCTGGGGGAACCCCCAAAGGACTTCCGGATCCCCCTGAATCCCTACCTGAACCTACACAGCCTACTCCCGGCCAGCAACCTGGCGGGTAAGGAGGCCCGGGGCTGGGGAGGCACAGGGAGAAGCCGCCGCCCGGCTGAGGGCCACCTGCCTAACCCCCCAGCCCCTGGAGGTGGCGGCGGCGGCAGCAAAGCCTTCCAGCTCAAGTCCCGCCTGCTCAGCCCTCTGGCCAGCACCCGTCTGCCCCCTGAACCAGGGCTGCCTGACAGCTGTGGTTTCGACTACCCCTCGGTGAGTACCTAGCCGCCGTGTGGTCAGCCCTCCCGGGGGCCGCTGCTGTGGCCCTTTGTCCCCTTAGAGCAGGTCATTCTTCAGACCATTATTTCTCGAGTGCTGATGGCCAGGAGAGCTCTAGGGAGATTGTGGGAAAGGTGCCACACACAGTCCCTGCCCCGAGTCACAGGTCTGTCTCTGCACATCAGACCTGCTTCCTGTCTGTCTCTCCTGAGAGGCGTTAGGCTGTGCTTCTGGCTCTTAGAGACAAGGCGCGGTGTCCTGTTGGTTTCTTTGTCCTCTCCCTTCTCCGACTCCTGTCCCTGTCCCTGGAGAGCTGCTCCTTCCGTGATCCCAGCCCCCCATCCCGGTCAGCCATTGGAGCCTGGCCACTGGCAGGCCCCCTGTGTTGTTTGGCCCACGCTGGGTTAGAAACAAATAACAACTGAGATAAATTTCGACACCAACGTAGAAAAGACCTCACACACCCCAGATGGGCAGCTGCTCCTGAAACACTGTGAACACCTTCCCGCACGGGGGCCATACGCCTTCACAGCAGCTGCCTCCAGGGCCGATGTGGAAGCCCTCCCTGCTGTGGGGCGCACACCCTGTTTCCTTCCAGCTGCCCAGCCTGCACTTGGAAGTTGCCCACACACAGTTGAGTGTGCCTCCTGCTGGAGGGGGCCAGACTTCCCCGGGAGCAGCAGTGCCCTGGAACTCAGCCAGGGGTGAGGCTGGCGCGGACTCCGACCCAACATGCTTCTCCCCCTTTCCTTCAGGATGTGGGACCTCGGCGGCTCTTCTCCCATCCACGGGAGCCCACACTAGGGCCTCACAGACCCAGCCGACACAAAGTAAGGGCTGCCCTGGCCAGCTTGCCTCCTGGGTGTATCAGTTAGCTCTTGCCGCATAACAAGCAGCCCCACCACTTGGTGGCTCAGAACAGCAGATACTTGATTTCTCCGTCGCGGAGGCCAGCGGGTGGTTCCCTGGCGGCTCAGCTGGGGCTTGGTCATCTGCATTGGTTTTAGTCACATACCTAGCAGTTACTGGGCGGGGTGCTGGGGGGCTCAGCTGGGACGATGACCAGCCCCCGGAGCTCGTTCTCCAGCATACCACCCTGTGAGGGCAGCCCACGTATGGTGGTGGTGGCCCCGGGGCTCCCCAGAGGAAGCAGGGAGGCCAGGCCCCTCTGCCTTTACCGTCATGCTGCTCGTCCCAGTGGCCAAAGCTAGTCACTGGTGCAGGGGGCATTTTGGTGTCCAGGGAGCGGGTGGGGGGGGCATTTCGGAGGGTCTGCAAAAGCAGGTGGAACTTCAGTCCTCTCTCTCATTCGGCCCGCCCCCTCTCTGCAGATGTCCCCCCCACCCAGTGGTTTCGGAGAACGGAGCAGCGGGGGCGGCGGGGGACCCCTCTCCCACTTCTATTCGGGCTCGCCCACTTCCTACTTCACCAGTGGCCTGCAGGCTGGCCTCAAGCAGAGCCACCTTAACAAGGTGAGGAGCTTCCCCAGCCACCGGTTTCCCCAGGGACAGCCAGAATGCAGGGGCTTCTGTGACCTTTGGTGCTTGGGCCCTGGCTGAGGTGGTGGCAGAGTGGGGTTCTGAGCAGGGCTGAGCTCAAACAGGCCATCCTCCCCACACCTGCGTTGTCTTGTCCCTAATATCCAGCCTTCCTGGTCACCTTTCACTCCCTCTCCAGTGGCCTATGGTGTGGGCGATATTAGCCCCAGTAGACAGAGGACGAAACAGGCTCACAAAAAAACTCCTCCTCCCCTAGTCTCCTAGCTGATGAGTGGCAGAGGCAGGATTTGAGCCCCAAACCCCTTCCCTTGGCCCTTGGGGACCGCTTCCTCTCCCATTCCATCTTTCTCCCATGTCTCCCAGGCGGTCGGCTCCTCTCCACTGGGCTCCGGAGAAGGGCTCCTGGGACTCGGTCCCGGGCCCAATGGCCACAGCCACCTGCTGAAGGTACGGGTCATGAGGTGGGGTGGGGTGGCAGCGAGGACATGCCAGGCTGGGGAGCAGTGGCCCCTGGATGGCACCTGACTTGCCACCCCCTCCCCTCTGTCTCTAGACCCCACTGGGTGGCCAGAAACGCAGCTTTGCCCACCTGTTGCCCTCACCCGAGCCCAGCCCCGAAGGCAGCTACGTGGGCCAGCACTCCCAGGGCCTCGGGGGCCACTACGCAGATTCCTACCTGAAGCGCAAGAGGATTTTCTAGGGGGCCAGTGCCAGAGATGCTCAAGGGCCTGCACCAAATCACTTTTGGGTTTTCTGGTGTTCTGTTTGTGTTTTTTCTTTCCCCCTTTCAGTAATAGAAAAATCTCTGAAAGACTTTGTTGACCAACCAGCCGGAACCCAAGGAGTGTGGGGGAGTCTGGGGGCCGCTGTGCACCTCTGGCCTTCTCCCGGCATGGAAACTCTACAGCCTTAAGAGAGAGGGGCCCTTGCCTGCTCTCTGTCCCCTCCCCCATATCCACCTGTGTCTGTGTCTGTCTCTCTGGGAGTCCTCTCCTGCCTTGTCACTCCTGTATTTTGGCCTTTCGAGTGCCTTGGAGGTTCCCCTGACCTCCCGTGAGGATCAGAGACTATCCCCCTTTTTTAACTTTGACAATTGACTTTTGTTTCCTTTTCTAATTTGTATTATTTTTTAAAGAATCCAGGACGACCCCCAGCTCTGATTCCTTCAAGGTCCAGCATGTCTGGGCCTTCATTCCACTCTTTTCGGTTTGAAATGGCTCAGCCCTCTTTTTCTCATGTCTGCTGCAGGCATGGCTGTGTCCTGCCCCTGCCTGCCCACTCTGGCCTGTATTCCAGCTGGGGGGCCCTAGGCCCCTGCCACTGTTCCCTTGCCTTCTGATGCCTTAAAGCCGGGTCCCAGGCCCTGCGGTCAGAGCCTCTTAGATGCCGAGCTCCAGGAGCTTGACTCAGGACCAAATGGCTCTGGCCTGGGGATTGGGCCCCTCTACCCAGGGTCCCCACTCTGAGGACAGTAGAAGGCCAAAGCCTTGGTCTTGGCAAAACAACCCTATCATCCTTCCTGCCCAGGCCTAGGTGCAGAGACAGGTTTTCTCTGCCAGCTTAAACCAGTCTTGCTGTCAGTCTGTGGGAGTCGGGTATTGTGCATCTCACTGAGCCTCTGCTGTCTACCCCCTCCCCCACTACCCCCATGTTGAAGATGAGCTCCGCCTCTCCATCCCCAGGCTAGATCACCTGGAGCTGGCCTCCTGGCCTTCTGTTGGCCCAGTGCCCAGTCCAGCAACTTCATGCAGATAAGCTCTGCCCCTGCCCACCAGCAGGACCTGTCCGCCTGGACCCTCCTTCTGGCCTGCTGGGCCACCAGCTTTCCTCCCCTGACTCTGGGGGGTCCACATCCACTCCAGGGGGGTGTCGTCTCCCCAGTCCTCCCTCACAGACCTTCCTTTGCTGAATTAAAGTTTGTAAGTAAATGGTTTTAAAGAAAGCAGAGCTGGCTGGTTCTTGGGACAAACAGTGGGCCTGGGTGGGTAGTCGGGGATGGCCCCGCAGGTCTTTTGTGGGGGCGAGCCTGCCTGGCTCTCTCGCACTCTGGCAGTCCCTTCCTGGAGTCCTTCCTGGCACGCGTCCCACTCAAACGACAGTGCTTGTATTCGGGCAATTACGGGCCTCTTGGGTTGCGGGGCTGCCACTGGGCATGCCCAGTCCCGGGTCACGTGATGCCTGTCATGGCCGCCTCCGTGGCCCGGGGAGGCGTGAGTGCTGGATTTCTGCTGCGGGCGGCCAGGGGAGCCTGGTGGAGCCGGCCTGGGGGCTCCTGGGGGTCTGGGGAGGCAGCGGCGCCAGTGACAGCCAGAAGATTCCGAGCGACAGGTACCTGGGGCGTTTTGGGGGACAGCGTTAATCCGCCAGACGCCTGCGAGGCGCGCCGCGGCCGCTCACCCAACTGTGTTTTCCAGGCTCGCGCCCGGCGGGGGAAGAAGAAGCTGGCGGCCCCGACCGGCCCGGGGACGTGTGAGTGTAGGGGGCCAAGTCCCCTGTTCTTTATCCCACGAGGCTCCTCTGGTCCCCACCTTGCCCTGCAGCCTCATCTCTGTGTCCCCCCTCTTCCTCGTCCTATTCCCCTGGCAGTCAAGGGGAGGGGAACCAAAGCTAGACGTTACCTGCTCACCGCGCCCACCATCAGGTTTGGTATCTGCACCCCCATCTGTCCCCAGGGTGAACGTGGTGTTCGTAGACCGGTCAGGCCAGCGGATTCCAGTGAGCGGCAGAGTGGGGGACAATGTGCTCCACCTGGCCCAGCGCCATGGAGTGGACCTGGAAGGTGGGAACCCGGCACTGGGAATTGGGGAGGTCCTTACCCATTGTTTTAAAAACCCTGCAAATCAGATATTGTTCTCCGTTACTTAACCCTCCCGTGGCTTCCCATGAAACGTGGCTAAAATCTAGACTCTTCACCATGGCTCAAACCCTGACCAGCTCTGACCCTTCACTCTCTCAGCAGCAATTTATTGAGCATTTCTTAGAGGTCAGTAAAATTCCTGCTCTCCAGGAGCTTGTATTCTCTCCTTCCTCTTTCTAATCTAGGCAAACTGGCTTTCTTGCTTGTTGCTCAAACGAAAAAGCCAAGTTCATTCCTGCCTCGGGGCTTTTGCATTTCCTGCTCCAGACATCTGAAGTGCTTTCCCACCAGAACTTCTGGCTCCACCTCATCCATTGGGTCTCATTCCTGACAATCTCATCCCCTCAGCCCAGCTGAAACCCTCAGCCCCAGCCCCTCCATCACCTCAGTGTGCTTTATTGTCTTCCTAGCACTTCTCAGTGTCTTGTTTCATTTTTGTCACCTATCCTCAGAATGAGATCAGAAACCATGGTGCTACTTACCGGTTGCCAGTCATGTTATTTAGACATAACCGGTATTAAATCTGTATTTGCTGAATAAAAGATAATCATAGCAGACATTACGTTAAGCGCATTAAATGCCTACTGACTGGCTGAATCTTCATGACAAGGTTATGTGATAAGGGAGACTGTTATCTCATTTTATAGGTGAGGAAGCAGCCCCAGGTTAAGTTGACATGCTTCAAGGTCAAGTAAGTGGCAAAACTAGATTCAAAGCCCGCTTATTTTAGCCACTGATCGGTGCCGCTCTTCTGTGTATATTGAACACCTACTGTGTGTTAGGCAGCAATGTACAAAACAGACAAGACCCCTGTCATTTCACGTCAGTTTCAACTTCACAGGGACCATAATCCCAGGAGTAAACATGTAATTACATCGTGAGCAGCTGGAAAGGGCAGTCTGGAAGAAGGAAAAAAAAAAGGAAAGGGTTATTTTTGAGGTGACTGTAATACAGAGCCTGATTTAATATCATCGGGGGTGGGGATGTTGGGGGCTGGCCGTGGCAGGCCTACCTCAAGTTCTGTTCTGGAATCCAATCCTAGGAGCCCACAACAGAGATTGGAACGTGTGTTTCAGAGGCAAGTGGCCTGTGTTCAGGTTTTGCCTCTTACCAGCTCTGTGACTCTGAGCAAGGTCCTTGACCTCTCTGGGCCTCTGAGGCCTCATCTATGAAAGGGGACAGTTCATTTGCTGTCTCACTGGGCTGCTCTTGTACTTAGTGCTGAATGCCCGGCCCCTGGTTAGTGTGCTGTTGCCTCGTTGGGACTCTTGTATTCGATAATCTCTCATTGATGAGGACGCCACTGAGGTGGGAAACGGGGCTGGGGACGAGATTCCTTGGGGACTGCCTGGAGCTGCAGGGTTCAGACATTTTATCTCCAGAGGGCAGGGAGGGTGGGCCAAGTCACCAGGTCCCCCCTGGGTGGTTCTTCTGGGTTAGGAGACTGCCTTGCAGCTTCATCCTCATTATCCAGCAAGTTGTGGAAGAGACAGAAATCTGTCCCATTCGCTTATAACATGTCTCGAGCTTCCACCTGCCAGGCTCAGTGCCAAGTAACAAGAAAGCAGGCCAGATAGATGGGACACAGGTACACCCAGAGATTCAGATGGTGACCTGAGATCGTGGTAAACGCTGTGCAGAAATTAGAGTCCCCACGGCCAGGCAGGGATGGAGGGTGGTGTGGGGAGAGGATAAGAAACAGGAGATGTGTGGGGGCGCCTGGGTGGTTCGGTGGGTTGAGGCCTCTGCCTTCAGCTTGGGTCTTGGTCCCAGTGTCCTGGGATCGAGCCCCGCATCAGGCTCTCTGCTCGGCAGGGAGCCTGCTTCCTCCTCTCTCTCTGCCTGCCTCTCTGCCTACTTGTGATCTCTGTCTGTCAAATAAATAAATAAAATCTTTAAAAAAAAAAAGAAAAAAAGAAACAGGAGATGGAACAGTTGAGTCCCTGAAGGCAAGAAGGTTCTAGCCATGGTAAAGGAGTGGAGAGAAGAACATTCTAGGGCAAGGGGACAGCAAGGGCAGAGTCCCTGTGGTGGGGATGAGTTTGGTGCGTTGGAACTGAGCAGGGGGGCCAGCGTGGCTGAAGTGAAATGAGTGAGGGGTCGGGAGGATCTCAAGGAATGAGCTGAAGAGTTTGGTTTTATTCTGGCTGCGAAAAGGCCTTGGAAGGTTTTGTTTTATTTATTCTTAAGATTTTATTTATTTATTTGACAGAGACAGCAAGAGAGGGTGGGTGGGAGAGGGAGAAGCGGGCTTCCCATAGAGCAGGGAGCCCGATGCGGGGCTGGACCCCAGGACCCGGATCATGACCTGAGCTGAAGGCAGACATTCAACAACTGAGCCACCCAGGTGCCCCAAGGCCTTGGGAGATTTTAGACCCGGAGGGACATTATCCTCAAGCACAGTTCTTAGCGACCAGTCCAAAGGGTGGGAATGCGTCCGGGGTGAAAAGCCGGAAACCCCAGCTTCTGTATCTTTCAACCCTTATTTTCTGGTCTCTTCCCCTGCCACAATGGGTGTTGAGGAAGGGGGTCCCATCGTCAGGAGCAAGAAGGAGAAGGAAGCCCGTCTGCCCAGCACAGTGACAGGGTCCCGGCTAGGGCTTACATGCTGCGGGGACCCTGCCTGACCATTCCCCTCTCAGCCACACTGAAGTCAAGTCCACGCTCATTTACAGTTCTGTGTGCACCGTCTGGTCCACAGCCTGCTGGGGGGTACTTGGGAGATGAGACACCCTAGACAGCCCTTTGCAAAACGTACACCCAGCTTGGGAACAGCTACTCGAATCAGTGGGGGCGGGGGTTGTCCTCAGTGCGGGCCCCTGAAGGACAAGGGGCCAGCGGGGAAACAAAGGGCCTCTTCCCTCTTCTGTCTGTGCCGCAAGGTGCCTCCGTGACCCTGCCCCTCACTGGCACCTCATCTGTCCCCTGCAGGGGCCTGTGAAGCTTCCCTGGCCTGCTCTACCTGCCACGTGTATGTGAGCGAGGACCACCTGGACCTTCTGCCTCCTCCCGATGAGAGGTGAGCGGGGCCCACCCCTCCCTGCTGTCCCAAGGCCCTCCAGTGGCCCCAGCCTCTCTCCTCCCTGCCCTGTGGGGCCCCCCGCCAGCTAGACAACGCGCCCCCCCCCATGACTGCTCTTCTCGCTCCAGGGAGGACGACATGCTGGACATGGCCCCCCTTCTTCAGGAGAACTCCCGGCTGGGCTGCCAAATCGTGCTGACTCCTGAGCTGGAAGGGGCTGAATTCACGCTGCCAAAGATCACCAGGAACTTCTACGTGGATGGCCACGTCCCCAAGCCCCACTGACACCGGCAGCCACGTGGCTCTGGGGAGCCCGGACCAGAGAAAAAACCAAGTTGCCAGCCCAGCCCAGAGCATGGACAGGCTGGAGAGAGATGCTGGAAGCAACCAGAAGGCTGGAGCCCCTGCCTCAGAGAGATCCCATGTCCAGGCTCTGGTTTTGGGCGCCGCAGGGAGACCCAGCCCTGCTGGGGAGGCCTCCCCCCAACTCATGAGAATCAGTGTGGAGATAGGGTGAGGTCTGACCGGAGCAACAGTAAAACCGTCTCACGGACCTCCAGTGTCTTGAGTGTCCTTGGGGGGGGCAGGCCCTGGGGGGGTCTCTGGCCGCATCTTCTGGAGCCCCACATCTCCCCCCCACACACACACAGTAGCGCTGGGGCCATAGGGGTGGAGGCGGGGGGGACGATTGAGGCAGAGACCTGGAAGCTTCCGTCCCGGAGAGCTCGGGAGCGGAGCGCACGTGCAGCCGCGTGGAAAGGCCCCGCCCCCGCAGCCGCAGAGGGATTTGGAGGGACCCAGGCTGGTCTGGAGGGGTGTAAAGACCACCCGAGCAGAGCTGCAGGGGTGGGACCAGGGCAGGCCGGAGGGGTGGGGGTGGGGGTGCTTGGAACCGAGTGCCTGGCGCTGCCTGCCAGCCCCACCCCACCCTCCGCTCGCCCCGCCCCCCTCCCAGGTGGGGCTCATCGCAGCCTCTGCTAGAAGCGCCCCCACCAGGCACGTTCTGTTCCACTCAGGTGGGGCTCATCGAGTGGGCTCGGGGTGGGCGGGGCCGGGCGTGACTAGGGAAGTGGGACTGGGCCGGAG